ATATATATATATATATATATATATATATATGTTTGTATTAATACCGTTTCTCAGCTATCACCCTAATGGCTTCAAGAAAAGATATCCTACTCGGAATAAAAACCCTTTCCTAGTTGTGGTTGGTTTTATCAGGGGAAAAAGGCAATGTTTTAAATGTGCGCACCTTGTACACACGAAGTAAGAAACCAACGGACTTTCCTTTATTCATTCTTAGGGCTATTTAAAAGAAGGAAAGATCGTCTTTTAGTTTTCCTTGAGTTTGCCAAATCCTATTTGGAATCAGTAAAGTAGATTTTGCGTCTCTTCACTTTGTTAGCATAATGACTCCTACACCGAGAGGGAATAGGAGTCGGCACTTTTTTTAATCATGAATAAGAATAGGCTCAGTTTAGGTGATGGCTGGCTTAGGGTTGCGCACACGGACATGAGGCTTTATATCATTTTAAATATAAAATATAAACCTGATTGCCGAAATAAAAAGAGCACACCACTTCCCTTCCAGACCCACACATCCACATCCACCGGAAAGGAAAGATAAAATGCATTCCAAACCCAAGTTGTAGTTGCGGAGCTACACATATGCATGAAAAAAAGAAAACGGTAATTAAAAAAGGAAATCATCCAACCCTCAAAAACAGAATAAAATGTGCGCATTAAGATTACGCACCAACCCCCAAATCCTTTTTTAAAAATCAATCATGCTTTTCGCTTATGTAATGAATCTCCAGTGTTATAGCTCTCTAGCGCTATACGTCTTTACCATAAGCGCCGTGCACGTCCTCAGCTCCTCCACCACATTTCCACACGCAAGGACGTCGAAGACAACAATTGAAGCCGTTTCCTCCTCATCCGCGTCGTTTATTTTTCGAAATCCATTTGTTCGATTCCTCGCGATTTGTTTTTGCATGGCCTCGCGTTTTTTTCGAGCCGAGGCGTTCGCCTCCTCGTAGCATTTGACCACCGCGAGGACCTGCGATTTACAGCGCATTTCATCCGAGCTAACAAAGTACCGACGCCGCATGTCCTCGATCCCCTGAAGGAGTTTGTGGAGCTGGGCCTCCTCGTTTAAGAGGACTTCGCGATCGCTTTTCGCGGACGGCGTGAGGGAATCCACCTCATCCTCCTGAAGTATTTTAAAGTGGACGGGTGGGAGGGCGCTCCGCTTTCGCCGCCCCTCCGAGGACAGGGCCTCCCCCCACCTTTCCTCTTCAACACTCGAAACCGCCCTCGGGGAATCTAACTCACTCATTTCCTCTTTTGGGGTGCTTGTCGTTTTTTGTTTTTTGTTATTATTCCATTCGCTTTCCATTTCATTTTGCGCGGCGTTGCTGACCCAACGAGCGACGGCGGCTTTACCGCGCGGGACCGCCGGCAGGGAAAACCACCGCCAGGGCCTGAACCACCTCCCCAAGTCTCCTCCCCTCTCTTGCGAGGGGGGAATATAAATTAAATCGGAAATACGACCCTGTTGGAAATCACGCATTGCTTCACTATTAAACCTTCCAAAGATCTTCTCCTCGCTCGCGACACCGAGCTGCACGAGAAGGATGCCGAGCTTTTCGCGCCGTAATAGTTCATCATTAGAAATAGCCGCTGCGTTAGTTTCGCCACGTTGGGTTTGAGGGATGTTGGGGGAGTTTACATTGCTTTTATCATGGCTGCTGCTTTCAATTCGTAAGGATCTTCGCACGGGGGTATGAAGGGGTGGGGTGGGGGATAGTTCAGGAGGACGCGTTATACTACCTCCCATCCTAACTATACGTTTATCGTTCTGTCTAGAGTTTGGCTGATCTTACACGATCACAGGATACAAAAATGGGGGAAAAAAAAAGAAAGAAAGCAATGAATTAGCTAGTGCTGTGCTGCTAAGGTGACTTATCTCTTTCTTGTTCCGTTGATCCTTTTGACTCTTGTCTTCTCACAGGAAAGAAGTATGACAAAGACAAGGAGAGGATGTAGTGTATCACAAAAAAGTTAGCCCTTGATTAAGCATTCTGAAGTATCCTTCCAAGAGAGAAAATTTGTTCATAATTATGTAAAGAACACCAAATGTTTTAAGAAAATGAACAAAGAAAGTGGTAAAACATTTCCGTCTTGATGTATCATTAACAAAACTTTAACTTGTTCCTGGAAGATGCAATCGAACCTTTTCGAATATAATGCCAAAAGGAAAGCACTTTTTTTTGGCACACAATGAATGTTTTTTTTTAATGAGGATAAATGAATAATTTAGGATAATATGAACTACGGATGCTTTTTAAATATAGGTTGGATATTTTCCTTCTCTCTCTGTGTTTGTTGAATTATGCATCATATCAGTTTATCTTTATATTCGCACGCCATAAGTCAATTTTATTTTCATAAAACGAGCAGGTAGCGACCGTTGCCGTGAAGATTTCCTCCATTGAACCTTTTTTTCATCATTGTATTCTTCATCCTTGTTATTTACCTTTTCTTTTTTAACCAAATCGTTGTTGGATGTGGTCTCCAGACTGAGAGCGGCTGTATCGTACACCAAACATTCTTCGGTTAACGGTTCCTGCAGTAGATAACGCGGGATTATACTATGAACGTTCCCCGCACCTTCCGATTCACTTCTTTTGTTTGTATTATCTTCGTTGTTATCTTCCGTATTTGATGAGGGGGGGAAAAAGTACTGAGGGGGGGCAAATACCTCATCTTCAGCCTTGGATACGTCGTAAGATAAAAATGCGGCGCCGCGCTGCATGAGGGGTAATATAAGGATATTTCTTTCCGTCACGTACGAGTGCGTCGCCAAGGTCATCGTGGTCGGGGTATCATACCTCCCCCTCCACTCCACCCCTTCATCCGTCGCGTAAAAGGGTAAGGTATTACACAGAAAGAGTTCAAAATTACTTCGCGGGATGTCCCGCATCGCATGGCAGTCCGAGCGGACGGGGATGAGGCAGCGGGAGGTACGCCATACCCCCCCTCCCAACCCATCCCGCCGCGCGACGGGGCTTTTTCGATACCGCATATCCACCAACGCGATCGATTCATCGTAGGAGCCCACGAGAAAATAAGGCGTCGTCCCCCTTACCCACTCACAGGATCGTCCCTTGGAACTCTGCAGGACCGGGCTGATCGACACCACCCCCGCGGGAAAACGCATCGCCCCCTCTGCGCTGCATCGCAGATCGTAAAACCGTACCACCCCATCATCCCCGCCGGACAGCAGCATCGAATTTCCCTCCTCCCCTTTTTGTATATTCCCCTTTCCAAGAGGGGAATTCGCGGTGTAGGTCCCGAGGGATGCCGGCCAAACCGCCCCACACCAGGCGTCGAATTCATGCCCGGGGAAGTCGTGGAGGACCTCACGCCGGGCAAGGTCATAGATCCCCACCGCGCCGCCGTGGGTGGTGAAAAAAAAACTAATCGACTCCTCGGAGACGAACGGCGTGCAACTTGTGAGCATCTCCGTGTGAATTCCGGGAAATTGATCGACAATGGAGTGAGAGTGGGGGTCAAACAGCCGCGCGGCGCCGTCTGTGCAGGCTGCCAGCACAAAAAAGGGATCATCCATTGAGTTGGTTTTTTTTTTCGGCCTCATCATTTTGGCCTGAGAGGGGGGAATGACTGAGATAGGGCTCCATCACAGCACGGGCCATCAACGTCACGTCAAATACCCCGAATGGAAGCTGCGCGGGGGGGGAGGGCGACACCACAACGTGGGTGATATCACCATCGCGGTCATCCACCACGGCGGCTGAATCCATCTCAAGATGCCCCACTGCACCGTAGTACGCCCTATCTTCCGTGGCCTCACGCCCACTGGGGGACTGTTCCGCCCCACTTGACGAGGATTCGTTGCTGTTTTCCCTACTGCTTTCCTCGGGATCCACCTCCGCCACGTTGGTCTTTGGTTTACTGAACTCATAGCAGGCGTATGCTAGGATGGGATTGGTGGACTTCCCGTTGGTGGGAACTCCCGCGCTGGCGAGAAGGCAGTTACAGGGCCGTGGTGTGACGATGGCCCTGATGTGTGCTAGGCCGAGCGCCATCCCATCCCAATAACGTACCGCAGTTGTGTGATGGATTCCTTTAGAACGACTATACGAGATGTAGCAGAGGAAATCAACTCTTTGCTCAACAGGAAAAAAAAAAGAGTAACAGAGCAAAGTATACAGCAAAAAAGTGTGTGAGCCCAGCTTAATATCGTTACCGTTCACCAACGATATGTTAGTATCAATCACGGATTTATTTCCTTTTTTTGACCTCACTTACTTATCGGAACCCTAAAGAATAATCGCACACAAAAAACTAAGTTTTTTGTGACTTCCCTTGTTGTTCCCCTCAAAAAACGCTTTTATTCATGGAGGTAAGAGAGTTAAAAAAAAAATTGAAGCGACACGAACCAAATAATAAAAAAGAATAGAATGAAATATTTAAAGGTTGATGAAATTTGTCACTCGATACTTTGATAATTATTGTAAGAAAAATAATGAAATAAATCCGTTTTAATAGATTTTTTTTTTTAACTCTTGGCTTTGAAAACAGGGGAAATTTATATCATTCACAGGCTTTTCAAGTAATGAGGATATTTTTCCAAAAATAAAACTCTAGGTTTCTTGATTGGCCATGCAAAGGTGTATTTATGTAAATGCACATGTCCTATTTTTTTTCATAATGTGATGAAACGGCAAATGTTTAAGTGTCTTAGAAGTTGCTCTTTGGATACTTTAGCAACTTCTACCTCTAACGTCCATGCTAATTGCGATTGTAGAAGGAAATCATGAATGGGGATACAGAGAATGGGCTATAGGATAGTGTACCGGTAGTTAGACATGTGAATTGTGAAGAACCATATTTCAGGGGTTTTCTTTTGTCGCACTACCGTATCTTTATTTTCATTTTTAAATTTTACTTTGACTATACATGTATATGCTTAATATGCCTATCGTGTAAAGGGAAAATGAAAATTTGTATCAAAAATCTTAGGTTCACAAAAATTATCAGATGTAAAATTCCATCTTATTGATAAACAGTGGCTACGAAAGGGGATATAAACTTCATATATATGTTAGGATTTCACATTGATCCAAAATACAGAAAGTTCTATACATCATAAAAACTAAGTGAACTTAAAAAATTATATTAGCAAATGTATATAGTCTCCTTATTAAACTACAGCAACGAGAAAAAGCGCTGAAAGGCAATCATGGAATGATTTATTTGTTTTTATTTTTTAATCTCTTTGATAACCTTTCTCCCGATGTTACCTCTAACATCTTAATACACATTCATATTGCATCCTTTTATTTTTTTCTTTATTAAAGAAGAAAATAATGGCAAGGGAACGTTTAAAATAGTATGCATAAAAAGAAAGCCGCATTTCTATGGAGATCCATTCATGTGAATATTTACATCAAATATGCAGTCTCTTTTCCTATATCCAAGAATAGAAGAAAGGAATGCCATTTGGGCTGTGTACAAAGTTGAGCGATGGAAAGTATGCTCTCCAGGATCGCTACCTCATAAAGCCGATTCACATGGATATCAGAAATCAACCATCTCTTGATATTCCATTAAACAATTAAAAGGAAGAAGTGGTTGCTTTTTTGCGGCGAAATTCCTCCAAAAGCTTCTTCTGGTATGCGGTGGCAGCTTCGCTAGAAAACTTATAAGGAATGTTCTGATTCCCAATTCTTCTCTCAGGCCCCTCCTCAAAAATCGCTGATGCTTTGTTGGAGTTCTCTTTCGTTGTATAGTCGTTTTTTATATTATTTAGACTTCGTATCGAGTCTTCAACCCCGCCGGAGGAGACGGAATGGCATTTCGAATTCTGCATCGTATCCGGGCTCATCACAGAGAATGACTCCGTTAGGCCATCCTCCGTGAGGGAGCTTTTCTTCACCCGCTCCTCTCGTTTGCGTCGGAATTCCTCGAGTTGCTTATGGCGATACTCCTCGGGGGTGAAAAGAACCTGCGAAGGGGCCGAAATATTCCCGGAATTTACCGTATGTGTTGAATTCATTGTATTTCTCGTGTTTGTTGTATTTGTAGAATTCATTGTATGTGTTGAATTCATTGTATTTCTCGTGTTTGTTGTATTTGTAGAATTCATTGTATGTGTTGAATTCATTGTATTTCTCGTGTTTGTTGTATTTTTAGAATTCACCGTTTGTGTTGAATTCATTGTATTTCTCGGGTTTGTCGTATTTGTCGGATTCACCGTGGGGGCACTATTGAGGGTGGGGTGGTTAGATGGGGGTACGCGCGCGGCTTCGGGGGGATTTTTGACGTTCATTCGCTCCGTCGGTGGAGCGTAGCCACCCCCACCTTGCTCCTTGTGCACCCGTCGGTTTGTTTTTAATCGCTCCAGGACGCTGGATTTCGCCCGCTCCTGGGATTCCTTCAGGGAGTTCGCCAGGTTGAGGTTGCCCGGTTCCATACAAAGCGCCATCTGATAGGCCTCAGCAGCCTGGTGGTATTGCCGGAGTTTAAAATACGAATCGCCCTGGCGGGAGTAGGGTTTAAACCAATCAGGCCGAAGCGCCACCGCCTGCTCGGCATCGCCAAGCGCTTTTTGATAGGCCGCCTCGGGGGTTGCCGCGACGGTGGGGTCGTGCGCCGCCTGCATAAAGGCAGCCGAGCGATTGCTATAAAGGGAGGTCAACAACATCGCCGATGGTTTCGCGGAGGCGGGCGTGGGGATCGACCAAATTCCTCCCCCTCCAAAGCCCTCATTGCCGCCGGACAGGCTCTTCGCTGAGGTCTCGCCGTGGCATTTAATCGCCTCTGAGTAAAGCCGGATTGCCTCGGCGAAGTGGCCCCGCTCAAAGGCGTTATTCCCGGCTATTTTCAACTCCTCTACCTCATCCCGCGGGCGGGCGGGGTTGGTAGAGATCGCGGCAAACGCGGTGCCCCCCGCGGCATCCGCCCGAATGGAGGGGTCTTTTGGATAGGCCGAGACTCCCGTGCTTTTATAACTTCGGCTGGACAAATCCCCCCCTGAACCAAGTAAACTCGTCTTGGATTTGGAGAGGGCGTCTTTATTTGGGACGCGGTCATCCGGGTTGATGATATCATCATGGGTGATCCCCATTTCCCGGAGAAAGGCGTCTCGATTAGCACTCGACCTCATCGATCCCACAGGCGTCCCAACAAATATATATCACACAACAAAATAATGAGTTTTATATTTATATTTATATTTATATTTATATATATATATATTATGCGCAGGGGGAACTTTGCTATAATCCTAAGAAAGAGTGTGGGTAAAGTCATGGTTAGAAACAATTCGTATTCATTCTTTACCATTCAGAATACTACAAGCTTTTCCAAACTCCATAAATATATTTTTGAGTGAAACTACATTTTGAACACTCAATCACTTTCTGTAAGTAAATTAAAAGTTTAGGGCATTTTAGGTCCCGCTAAGGTGTATAAAGGTGTGTTCCCATAAATATTTATTAGACAATCCGACTGTAACGCAAAGCGGAAAATCTTAATATCGCTAAGAAATCAGAACGGAATATAATCGCATTCGAAAGGATTTATTCATAACACAAACTATCACACACAAAAAGGAAGGAGATAACTATTGAGTATAAGTATTTTTAGGCCCCCTTATTTAAACATGCCGATCAAAAGTAAATAATTCCATCAATGTGATGAAACCTAAGGCTTAAAGAAATGCATAAACACTTTACGTTGTATGCGTCTATTTTTATTAAACATGCAGACATATATAACATAGGTGTGCAAAATAAAATAAGTTTGACAACATGCGCACCGGAAGTTCAGCATTAAGGCATTTCTTTGGGTTTCTCTTTGCTTCATGAGTGCCATGGGAGGAACAGGAGGAAAAAGATAGTAAAATACCCATATTTATCTCAGTAATGAAGCAAAGTATTAAGAAATGAATATAGGTTTTTAATGCATGGGTATATAAGAACATTTTTTAATTGTGTTTGATAAGAATTCAAAAAATGAGGGAGAAAAAAAACATAACGAAAAAGTGATAATCTCAGTTTACGAACGGTTTTGCACATGGCAGATCATCCAGTGTTTCCACAAACTGAGAAAACATCTCAATCAAATCATCTTTATAGAAAAGCTGCAGCTCCTTTGGCTTGAATTCAAACCACGCTATCATTACTGGGTGACTAAATACAGCGTTTGCGAGAAACACGCAGTACCCTTCTATAAGTCTCGAGTTCCGAAGCAAGATAGCGTAGAAGACAAGTTCGTCGACAAGCCAAGTTAAGTCCACCAATAAGCTGCGCAGCTGGCGCCATGCTGAAAGGGATAACCCTGAGTGATGTTCCCTTTCACGATGTAAATGGGTAGCCAGTGGAATTGACTCTCTCGGGCCGTGGTGGGGGATGCTAGAATCCAGCACCGTATGCCCCGCTTCGGTGGGATGCAATTTATTTTCTGTGGTATTGGCGCCAGTTGAAAGCAATTCCTTATTTAAATTCAAAGGGCACGGATGCCCGCGATAAGTCGTGATTTTTACTGTAGAATCGGGGGCCTGACTTTGCTCATTGTTATTATAACCTGTACCATCTGGTGTCGAAAAGGAGGGGGGTGGGGGGGTGCCAGAAGCCGCATGGGTATCGGTAGAGGTCAACCTGTAAGGGGGAGGAAGTTGATTTATGCTATTCTTATCGTCTATGCATGTCTGGTGGGGCCATATGTGCTTCAATGAGTGGGTATTCTCGGTAGAATTCGGTCGATCGAACTCCTCGTTTTCATTGTGTTGAGAACTGACTTTGGTTTCAATTTCGTCTCCATCGGATTCACTGCGATAATTTAATTGTAGCATATCAATTGGATCACCCTCCTTGTTGGCAGTGTATCTCGCGGTTTCTACACCATCTTTGAGAGCTTTATAATATGCAAACATGGCTTGAAACCGATCTGCGTAGCGGGAGAGGGTTTTATTGAACCGCTGTACAAAGTGCATGATAAAATGCTCACCAATGTGCTGCCTGCCCACTTTGATAGGCTTTAATACCGCATAAAGAGGGGAGTAGGAGGGTAAAAACGCGTTGGGTGAGTGAAAAGGTAGCGCTATCCTCGCCTTATCGCTAGTTTCCGCTGTGGAATCGGATAGTGGAATCTGACGCACCTCGATGCGCACTCGTTCTTTGGGGTTACCCCGATTTAAAATAAACGCATGCTCACAGAGCGCTGGCCTCTCACATTTACCCTCATCGATGCTCCGCAGTGCTGCGGCACGATTGTGATCTAACAAGACGATAAAATAGCCACTCGAGTTTTCTGGGATGACTAACTTAGCAAAAGACACCACTGTCGAGAGACGGTTATCGGAATCCATAACAATACTTCCACCTGTTCTTGTAAGGTTTGTGCAGGTCGTGAGCAGAGCTTTGACAGCGGCATCATCCTTCGTTTGCGAACCGGTCCCAGCGACGACGTACAGTATGGGAGATTGTGAACGAAAGCAAAATCCTTGCGTGATGTTTTTCAAGTTCTGAACCTTCACCACCACACGAGCGATATCATCGGATATAGGGACATTGAAGACACGATCGACGTGAAAAGTCGGCTTGAAGAGTTCAAACGTAACACGAAACAAAAAACGTGCATCGCGTACCTGCTTGCATTGGAGGATAACATCCCCCTCCCCATGGACTCGGTAACCATCTGGTATGTACAATTCCGCACAGCTCAGGACGAAGGCCAAGTGCGCGTGTGAGTTGGAGTCGGCTACGATATACCGCTGGCTGTTCATGATTGGGACGTCGTAAATTCGACACGCGATAAGCTTGCCTTTGAAAACAGGCCGACGTGTTGTGGTGCAGGAGGATACATTTTGCACCATGGATTCAAAGGGCAACATAGAGTTCGATCCCAGAGCTTCCTCCTTCATCGGCTCTTGCTGGGACTCGAGGTCGAGCACGTTAAGACTATGAGGATCCTCGTGAGATTCGTGCCACGTTTCCTGTGAATGTTTCTCCCTGTCCAAGAGAACGTCCTTGGTGTTAGTGTGTTCAGCCATAGGCCGTAATTCCAAGCGAAGTGGATTCAATACAGAGATGGGGAACTCCAGCGCCACATTACACCGGTTGTAAATTTTCATCCCAATATTCGCGCGCATTGTCCCTGAGCCATAGATGTGCCCCAGAGACACGTTGTGAAGGTCACCTGACGTTACAGGTTGTCCATCAGAGTCAAAAACGTCGAAGATGTCCTTTCCAAGGGTTGTGGCAAAGATGTCTGCGGATAATTTCAGGTATAACACCTCAAGTGGATTTAGGTTGTTGTGGATCGCCAAGTATGCGGTGAAACTTCCCACCTTTGACGACAAAATGGTGAACCGTATGAGTTGACTTTCGCCAGCATCAAGTGTTCCGTTCTTCGCAAGTAACAAAAGCCACGGAATTGGGGTTTGTGAAACGATCGATACCGTATATTTTACTTCATGATTGCATATGTTATTGCAGACCAAAATTTCGCTGTTTAGGTTCCCTTCTTTTTGAATAGAAAAGGAGCACATGTAACCTCTAACCATGCCAGGAACAGGAGTGCAATTTTTTAGAGACAGAACCTGTGCTGATGGTGATCCCAGGGGAGAAGACCCAATTGCTGACTTTTGTGAAAAATTCACTTGAACCCTGCGATTGGGTTCATCAGCGGACCCTGTTATAGAGTTTCTTTGTGTTGACTGAGATTCTGGTAACCCACTATTACCCACTGAAGGCGAATTGGTTATGATCCTCGCGACAGTCGCGCCCTTAGCATTCAGCAGCACATTTTTAGATTCCATAAAGCTACTATTGCTGAGGATTCCTGTGGAAGTACAGCGCATTTTTCCGCGTAATAGGTCTGCTGTACCCATTCCGACTCCTGTGTCTGGTGATATAGAAAGAACTAATGATGCTTGATCAGTAACATCATCTTCATCATATGGAGCTACGCTCACGCGACTCACACTCACACTACAAGGAACATTCTCATCCAGCACAACAAAGGCTACAAACTGCTCTAGGGATAGTTGACTCAGTGTTGTATTAGCATCTCTTTTCAAATACAAATGTGAGCTGTAGAGTGCGATCTCGAGCACAACTGTTTCATCAGGTACAACAACGAAGTGGTGGCCAAGATGGGACCCACTTCCATTAGTACTACTCTTGCTATCCACTGAAGAATTGCTTCCTTTTGCATTATTGTAAAATAGTGTCACGGTTTCATTGACACTATCTTCTCTTGAGTTTTCACTATTTGATTCGCTTCCTTTTTTATTAAGTATGGAAGATTTACTATCTCCCAAAACTTCTACAGTGATCGGAGTAGAAAGATGTTCACTAATAAGGACATGCAAGCACAACTGCAATGTGGACCCTTTGCAGTTGTTAGTTACATTGAGTTTACCTGTATAACCCCAATGCACCTTCGTTGTCTGCTCTGGATTTGTGAGTAATGCAGGGGAGGTGGGTAGGACAATCTGCAAAGGTTGAAGTTCCACCTTAGAAGGGGCAGAAAAGGTGCTGAAAGGGTCAATCTGACCATACACTTGATACTCTTCATCATCCGTGAATTGATTTGTAAAGGTTAGGTTTCCAATCCATATATTGTTGGACGGCTCCGTACGTCGTGCCTCGAGGTCGGGTATCTTGTCAAATCCCAAAGTTGCTTCTTGTTGCTTTTTGCGCATACTCCAGAAAAACAGAGGTGCGAGCGTAGCCAAATCGTCGCTTATCATGAAGCAGCGTAAGCGAAGTGATAGTGTTCGGGGTGATGATGAGGGGACTCTTCGGCGATCACTATTCACCGGGTTTGTGGTTGCAGTTGAAGCAGAAGGTGCTTTTCCATACACGGTCCCTCTGTTGTTTGTTTGATCAACGTCTGGCGCTGCCCCATTGCCGAGGGAGTTGGCCCCAATCTGCTTATTTTTTGTATTGTCATTTACATTCATCCCAGAACCTGATCCCAAAGAGTTGATGGCGGCATCGAGACTTCCACTAATATTCTTTGCGGGGGCGGCGGTCTGGGCAGGAAATGTGATACAGTCGCTTGCGGGAGTAGCGTCATAATGAAAAATTTGGACAGCTAGAAGCCCATCGACTTTAGGATTATACTTCATCGACCAGAACAGTTTTACTTCTTCTTCCACAAACACACTTACTGCAACTTTTTCTTCAGAAAGAAGGATAGGCGCAGTTGATGAAGGACGTAAAATGAGCGGGGTAAGAGACAGCGTCTCCTGTGCATCGTCATTGCCTCGATATTTGAGTTGAAAGATTTTCCAATAATATTCACCAGTTATCGCTACAGAAATATCATTCTCGTTGTTGAACTCGTTGACAAAAAATGTCTGATACTGAAACGGCCCCTGTGTAGTGATTTGTTCGAGCTTCAGATTGGCACTGACCTCTAGCGTTTGTTCTGGTGGGATGGTTAGCCGTTTCTTAGGGAAATGAAGAACAGGAGGACACTCAATCCGTAGGATCAAAGGCAAGTAAGGTGAAAGGTTTCGAAGTAAAACCTGAACTTCTGTTGATGAATCTTCACCATCATTACTGCCATTAGTGGTGTTAGCCTTAAAGCGACGGTTTCTATGTCGACGACATCTAGAATAATATTCACCATCTTCAGCATACTTTTTCGCTAAACTTATTATCCCCAAGTCCGTTTTCAAAGGTTCGGCGCACCCCTCGCTTACGGTCAGGGGTACTGAAAAGGTAAGAAGCATCAAACACTGTCCTGCAGATGGTAAATATCTTCGAGGCGGGAAGGCGCGACGTAATATATTTCTCTCATGAAGTAGTTGAGCTACCTGAACTTGAGCAGTAGCATTTATAGTTACCATGCGGTGTTCCATAAGGCTTCTTGTTTGCTCTTGAGTCAGTTGTGGAACATTAGTTAAAGTCCAAGTAATGCTGTGTGTTCGTTGTGATTTCAAGCGTGCGCAGCCGTTTTGGTACTGCTCAGATGAGACAGCTTCTTCTCCATCTTGCATATCATTTGAAAAAAAAAGTGGAAGCTCAGTATTTTTGAGAGCCAATATAAAATCTCTAGTATACCGATTCTGCATACACATATTAATTGAAACCTTTTCGTGCAAATGATAGCTTCCATTTGGCCCTGGTTCAACAACTGTGATCGGGAAATAATAGACTCTATCTAAAGAAGGGTAGATAGGAAATATGAATGGGTCCTGACGAAGTCCAGAAACAGAAATATGAATTGGCTCCTGAATGCAGCTGAGATTTTGAATGATGATTTCTTCCTGTATCCACCCCGGTGACGTCGATTGAAGCATAACTGGTATTTCCCTTTCTTCTTTCGGCATTAACGCAATTTCGTGATTATTATCGCCATCAATCACTACATTCTGCGACAAGGTGGATAAGTTTGCTCGAATGATGAATGTATTCGAACTATTAGAGACTTTCATCATTGCCCTCGGGGGCTGCTTTGTGTCTTCGATGATGCCCATCGCTATGTGTGATTTTGGAACACAAATAATGCCTCCACCTACACGCACACTCAGGCGTACCACCGCTCGACCTACGGTACAATAATTACCTTCACGATTCAAGGTAATAACCTCTACAATAATACCTGCACTGACGACTCTAGAGGTACTTTGGGTAGATCTGAAACTGGGCACAAATTTTACGTACACTCGAACCGTTTCTTTCAAAAACGTTCGTTCAATAGGAGTTTCCAAAGGCACAGTGCACTCAGAATTCTCAAAAAACAATACTTGTGAAGGCTTGTTAGAACGTATGAGGAGAGCATGTGTATATGAGAAGCGACTTTTGATGAGTAAAAGTTGAGATTCCAGTTGGTTGAATCTGCATGGCGTGATGATGTCACGAAACGTTAGACTCCTCGGTTCTGTTATGATACGTTCTTGCTCTTCGGTTGGATTTATTTCGACCACAACATAGACTATGTCCGCAGAGTTTTGTAAATTTTTAATTGGAATGATATATTTTTGCGGACCTACACTCCTAGCGGTACATTCCACCATGATACGAAGGGTATCGTCTGCATTGACGGTTCCATTTCTGGGGAAGAATTTAAATCGAGCCTCCAGAGTTTGTGTCACAGAACTGCTGCATGCTCGTGGTTCCAGAATAACAATGGTCGTAGATTTTGTAGAATTTAAAAGAAGGGAGAATTCAGTATTGTCATTTACAATACAATTATGAAGAACAACAAGTGGATGACCCATAAATGTAGATAATGTGCAAACGGTTTTACACACTTCCAAAAAAATCTTGGGTAATTCAAGAGCGGGCAAGGTTGATGTACTTATTGGCAAGACAGATTCAGATGAAGCTATGTGAAGGCATTCTTTCTCTTCAGGACGTATAAGAGTAATATCAATTGGCACAATGCGGTTTACTTCCTTATCTCTGGCCTCAAACAGAAGCAAGTGTAGCGTTGTTGTCTGCGAAGGCGATAGCAACTCATCTTGAAGCCTTGAAAAGGATAAACTGAATGTGATATTCACAGATTCCCCCGCATTCATTATTGGAAGTGCTACACCCTCTCCAAGCAGTTCTGTGAGCAACTCAGCAGTTGGATGAGGCTTACTTTTCGGATGATAAGCCTCATCATCACTTTCAGAAAATTCATTATCATGCCCAGTTGAGTCTATGGTCAATGAATTTTGATCAACTTCGCATCCTAATAGCACCCTTTTCAATGATTCTATTGTCTTCAAGGTGACTCGGTATTTTTCTTCTTTTTTTTTCCGCTTATATATTTTGAGCTTTTGCTCCATCTTTTCAATTTTTTCTTCAATCTTTCTTGTGGAGGCTGAGTGTTGCGTACCCAGTTCTGTATCTAGTTTAACTTTCACACTTGCACCTTTAAAACCCAGGTAACTATGCAGGGAATCATTTTTAAGAAAATCGTCAAAACCAACACTGCTATCGGTACCCAAACGAACTTTTATTTGCCTTGACGCTTTGCTAGTGTTATAAACTGTGAGCCGCATCGCCACGCGTACGGATCCAGCTACGTTTCCAATGGTTGGAAGTAGAATATTTCCAAAGTTCCATGAGTCAGGACTCACATCGAATGTGTCAGCTTTGATAACTGTTGCTTTTAGTTCAACATTTACAAAATTTTTCGGATCAAAAATGTTTTCGAGACCGATTTTCTCATCGAAAACACCTTTTATGCCAGGGTTAAAGCTCACCTCGATTTTTCGTATTGCAAAAGGCCTCACTGAAATAAAAAGTGATTCTTTTTCACTTTTTTCAATTCTAATATGTCCTGCAGTAACGGAGTGAGATTTAGTTGCCTTGATATACAGAACAGATTTACAGCGATTTACTATAGTAATCATTGTTGACCTTTTAGTACCAATGCTAACCTCACCAAAGTTTTTTGTTTTCTGTCCGCTGACTTCAAACGAGGTGCTGCATAGTCTGTAAGACAGTCTCACAAAACGTGGTGTTTCTATTCCATTTACAGTTATCATAAGACCATCCTCTTTTGACATCGGCTCACGACAAAATGCAGTCCGATTGATAAGAGCAAAAACTGTAACACTTTTATTAGAGTCAAGTGTTATTTCCTTTGTTGCCATTGAACTCGATAAAATGGAAAGCAGTTGACCCATTACGTCAGCAACACGCTTAGGTGGGGATTGACTTGGCCGTTTTACATAATCAGACTCACTAAAAACATAAAATGTTTGTAGCTCAGATGCCAAGTTTATTAAAAGAGCTGTACTTGACGGATCCGTCAAGTAAAAAATCTCAATTTCTGGGCTCGTACTTGATATAATCAGTTTCAAAGAGTAGTTCACTTTCGATGTAGCGAGGTAGGGCACTAAAGAGGGAACATCTGTGATTGCAGATAAATCGGAGTTTTCTTGGTTGACAAGATCATATTTTAATGGGTGGCATTCCCATGAGTATAGCTCATTATGTAGCTTCGCTTCCAAAGGGGGCATATTGTTCGCTTCTATATTAAGAATTTGTTTTTCAGCAGTAGTATTAAAGAGATTCACTATTGTTAGCTCCTTGCGATACGTTGGATTGACACGCCGTGGAGTGATTCGTAGGGTGATCGGGAGTCTGCTTTGAGGGCCAATCTGAAATTTTTCGCACACCTTTTTTTTTGAAAAGTTACGCTGAGATATTCCTTCGATGAAAATAACTTTGCTTCTTATTTGGATGTCAATACTTCCAGGTAATGGTGTTTTATTAATAACATAGAAAACGTACCGTTTGCTTTGCCCCACAACGCAATCACCAAGATCGATATTTGTAGGTGTAACTTCTATAGTGCTTGTAAATAAAACAGCACTACAACGTACGATGACCTTTTGGCTTTGATATGTCATTGTTGAACGTGTCAAAAACAGTATTTCGAATTTAACAGGTGTTGCCTCCTCGTGTTCCTCGTCAAAATCTGGAATGTATTGCACATTCAGGTAAACCATACCCTTTTGAACTGGTACAATAACTTCATCTATCGGAGTGTTGTTTTTAAGCAAAGTCACATATCCGCGACATTTTTTTTGATCTATCGGTGCCAACGATACAGCAATAGCAGCCCGTCCATCAATATTAAGAAAGCCAATTTCGGCAGATGTATTAATGCCGCGGTAAATATCACCAAAATTGAGAGACGTGCGTGATAGGCTAAGAATATCCCCTTGAGACTCAACTGAAACATTGATATTTACGTAAACAAATGCTGTATTATAAAGATTAGACATGTTGTCACATTGTAAAGTCGCTCTGTGACATTGATCAGGAACACAACTTGAACCTGTTCTTACGACTAGTGATAGTTCCATGGATGAGTTAGCATGAAGTAAAAGACGGTGATTAAGTTTTGGTTCCTCCAGTTGCCCTGTCTTGTAGATCTCCAAATCAATTCCTTTGATTCTCATGCTTTGATTCCTGATTATGAAGGAGAGTGGACACATTGATACATTAGTGACCGAAAAGGTCATATGTACCATTTTATTAGGTGCCATCGTTAAATGAAATTCTGACTGCGATATTTCCAACCAAGAAAGGTAAACGTTAGCTGAAAAAGGTATGGTAACTGATTCCAACAATTCGGTTTCTGTTGTAAGTGATCGTTTCCCAGGAGCTGTTGAAGTAAAATTTATTTCTTTAGAATTTAGAGAAGTAACAGTTTCGTCCAAAATTTCTTCAGATGCCACATTTAAATAGATTGTCCCATTGTATAATGAAAGTAGTGAACGTGCCGAGATATGTGGAAAGGCACTTTGTATGAGCTTAAACGTAACAATGATATCTCTTTCCTCAAGTCCTTCAAGATTAAATTTGTCTACCAGATCTATAACGTCAAATGATTCATTGTAACAAAAAGAATCTGAATCGGTTTCTTTTGAATTGTAGTTCTCATTACTAAACTGAAACTTGATCATTTCAGTACTGGCTGACAAATGCACTGATACGGGTGATTCGTTCACATTGGTGATCCTCAGCTGTTTATATGAGGGTATGTTGTTGATAGCTACCCCACCAAAATTTAGCTCTTCGGTACTAACTTTTAACATCCCTGTAATAAATCTTATTGCTAAAAAAAAAGCTAAATATAATAGAAAAATAATTATAAAGAAACATGGTCAGAACAACAAAATGCTACTGTGAACCTGAGTCATATTCATATAAATAGTGTGGATAATCCATGCCCAGGATGGCTTAACAATCAACATACGGAAAACTGAATGAATTTTAATGTTTGTCAACAATATGTTAAAATAGCCACATTATTGTGAGCTTTGGGAAACAAGCGACACTTGAGCCTAAGGAATAGGTTGATTCCTTTTTTTGTGTGCAGACTTTTTTTTGACCAGACTCTTTCTGCGGCGCCGCCAATTATTTCTTTATACCACTGACGGAAGGATATGCATATGGAAGGGGGACAATTTCTGTTATTATTATGAAGTACCCTATCGCTTGAACCCGAGCGTATTATGATATTATAAATAAATGGTTAGCGCTTGAAAAGGGTTATGGTTGACAAGCATGGGGGGGGAGGGGGGAATGGGGATTTTGGACCATTGGGGGAGGAATGCCGCAAAGACCTTCCGATGGAACTTTGACCTTTGACCTGCTTGTGCTATGCTTAGAATGCTTCAACATATAGTGAGCTAAAATAATATGCCACTAGCTCTTGTTTTTCCTTTTCAACTCAAGATACTAAACCTTTGAGCTGTGGTGGGGCGGTTGTTTTCCTCAGGCATATCGGCTTTTATAAATAATTACCAAAGGCGTTTTTTATTATGCTGTTTAGTGATTCAGAAATCCCACGGATAGGTCTTGCAAACTACTTAATGGAATTTCGTATAGCACGATTGATTTTTTCCTCACGCTTTTTATATATACTGCTTCTCTTTATAATTTTGTAATTCTCTTTAGTTTAATGCGGAATTGCCATTTCGTTTTCTCATTGTAGCTAAAAAACGTTGATATTCATTGTCATTATTCGCTGTTCTCAGGAAGCTTTATTGTGATAGTGCGAACTTCTTTGTAAAGGGAGTAATTGACGTCTATTTATCTTTCATAAAAGAAGGAAAAAATAGCAAAAACTTCATTCTCTACTTTGGGTTATATATTATAACAAAATGACACGATGTTTTCTTAACATGGTAATTTTGATTAGTAAATTAAATTAATATGACAAAGTTCATAGAAATTTAGTTTTTTTTGAGACTAAGATTAGTTATTCGTATTTCCATTTATCACATGCTTCTACAATTATTACATATTATCATGTATCCATATCTTGTATTCAGTATTTATGAGTATTTTTTTCCAGCATATATTTACATTCAATTACAATATAGCAATAGATTACAGAAAGGAATTAATAATTATCTGGGAGTGATTGCATTGATTTTGGTATGAATAGTTTTTCACATAAGTTATAATTTTCTTTTTTTAATTGTTTACTCATAGCTTTTATCACTGTCGTTGTTAATTTTTAAATCATCGTGTTAATTCACTCTCAAATCAACCCTTTCATTTATAAAGGTAAACAACATTGGAGAACAAATATATGATGACCATCAGATAAGCCATTATTGATTCTTTTTACATATTAAAACTATAATAATAACATAAAACATGAAGAAAATATTACTAACAAAGTCATTTTGAAAAGTAATATATAGCTATGCAGTACATATCATGTTAAAATTTTATTGAATGTTTGAACATAGTGAAGAGGTAAACACAGTTTGACGATATCGTGTATACTTGAGTAGCTTAGATCTGATTGATTAAAGCAGCTTCCTTTTATGGATATTACCACATCCCAAAATCTGTTTCTATGTCCATTATCGTTTTATTTTAAATTTCATCTTGTTTCATTATTGTTTCTTACCGGTTACTTTTAAATTAATAGCAATTCAAAGTGATATTATTCACTTGAATGCTAATTTTCTTTTCTTAGGAGGTCTTATATACATCAAAAAAAAGTATTTATGAAAAAAGATAAGGCTTACGTGAATAACATTGAATGTTCATGCCCCATTACCAGCAAGACTACAAAACCAAACTCAACTTTAGATTCCCTAGGGTTTCGAAAAGGATCGCCTGGTAGGCCACCGAACTTTAAAAACGTTATAAATATACCATCCAGTGACTTGGTTTTTCATGAAGGTAAACCAATCGAGGATATAATAAAAAGTTCAACAGAAGGTGTCAAGACGCCAATGAAACTACATTATAACCCCCAAGACAAAGTTACTATGATCCATTCGGATTTGTCATCTGATTCCCTTGTTTGTAGGAGTAATATTGATTCCAAGTACGATTGCAACCTAATAAAGGGGGAAATTAGAAACCAAGACATACCCAAGACCGATATATTAGAGTATATGAATACTCAATTTGTTGAAAAGAAGAGTAGCAACTATAATGCATCATCTCTTGGAGGAAATCATAATCATGCTCAGTCAATTTTTAATCAACGTCGAGAGGAATCACCTGGACTACCAAAACGATCAATGGTGAAAGTAAGTTTTAGAAATGAAAGAAGAGATTCAAATAGTCAAAAAATATTTGAGGTGACTCAAGGCATGATGTCGAATAAAACACAAGGAGCTTCTTCAGATTTATGTCTGCAGCCTTCCCGTTCTCAAAGTATCAATTATATAACATCTTCCAAGGAGAGAAAATACTTAAGCAGTGACATAGTGTTTTCTTCAAGCGCTACTGACAATAGCGTTCCTTTGCAACCGATAAATAATGATAGCGTTTTGCAGAGAGGTTTATTTCGTCAAAACATTTTACAGTGCGATGTAGGACATGTTAGTGAAATTCACAATTCACTTTCAGAAGTGAATAATACAAGGCGTCCTACTCAGACTGAGTTATTTGTCAGTTCAATGGCTGAAACTAAGCACGATCAGAGTTTGCTGACACAGTCAATAAATTGGATACAGAATCCCATACTTTTTTATTTATCTGAAAGCTTGATAAAATTACATGAGCTTCGAACTAAAATCAGAGACAGTGAGATATCCAAGGAAGCTTTCCAGAACCTGGAAGTAAGCGATGCTAGTTGTGTAACACCAGATTCTGATTACACTTATGAGTGTCAGGCTAAGATGGAAACTCTTAAAAGATATGTTACATATTCCATTTCTGAAATAGATGGGATTCTTCTTAATCCTCTGTTTACTTCATGGTCTGAAAGACACTTGCGTAACTTGTTAAAACGTGTTTCCACTAGTTGGAGACTCGGCGGTCTAGAGAGTAAGGATTTTGAAGAGGCTTCACTTTTATTGCTGCAAGCAATTTCAGAGGAGCGACGTGGAACCATCCGTTACACTCAAATTTATCGGTTGCGTGAGTATTTTGGAAGTCATAAACGTCATTCTACTGGGTTTTGCCTACTATCTATAATGACCATTGCGTCATTGCTTTTCACAGTTCTCCTTGCCGTTTTAGGAAACAACTACTATTTGGTAAGGATTCTGTTGCCTGTTTTGCTAGTGATAGCTATGCTTTTCATTTTTTGTTTTTCATTTCTTATATTGAATCACAACGCATCTGCTGTTGCAACAGTAGCGTTCTTGAAAATGGAATTACTTTATCTATCAAATGGTGATGTTAGCCTCGATTCTGAGGATAGCTTTTCAAGTTCTAGAGTGTTGAGTGAGCCTTCGATATATCCAAGCAATGAGCATATTATACAATCTGGTACACTCCACGTAACTGATGAAGGAGTGAGACCGAACAAAGACACATTTTTTGAATTGAATACACTGAGAAAAGATGAATCCACCTCTATATCCATAATCAAAAAGCCACTACATCGAGCACAGATGGAGAATCAGAAACACCCAGAACATGCTAAAGGAAATGATTTACCAACGCAGAGCCACGCTTTTGAAGAGCAGCACTCCGTTGAACACTCGCAACAAATTCCTCATAGAATGGGAACGATAAACACAACTGAACGGGAGCTGTCCACAAGTGACGGGCAGAGTTTGAACACAAACAAAGGAAGCAAAATTATTCAAACGCATAATTTTCAGGATTCAAAAGCTTATTACACTGCAATTGATTCAACCTTTATTATAGATTTAGCCGATAACATCAGTGTCACCGCCCTAATTTATTGCAAAGATGAATATGCCTTATCAACTATGATGTCTTCTCTCTGGGAGTTTAACTTCCTTGTGCTTCGAACTGATGTTATGCAAATCGACAATGTTTATCAGCAAGGTTCGGACAAGTTTAAAATTATCATACTCCACACTCCTGATTTGCCTGAAGGTTCCTCTGAGTTCAATACGGCCTCGTCGTGGGTAAAGGAAAATCTTCCTGTATTTTTCTTTTCATGCGATAACCGTAAATTTCCTTATTTTGTGCCGTCATCGAACAAACTACAGCTACCTTTATCCGCGAAGAATATTACCAACCTCCTCCTTTTTGGTACTGCTAAGAATGAAGGGTTGTGCAGTACAAAGATGGGGTCTACATCCAAACATCTTAAGGTTCCACTATATACACTTGGTCGGAGGTTGGGTGGAGGCGCGTACGGGAATGTTTTTGAAGCGGAGATGGAGGAAACTGGAGTTATGTGCGCCGTTAAACGTATCTACTTAAGAAATAATGATAACACTGATCAGGATAACAACTACATCAGCCAGCTACGTGATATTGCGCGCGAAGTGGAAATTATGAGCTCACTTATGCATCCAAATATAGTACAGTATATGTTTTTCGAACGTGATGACAATTGCATATCAATCTTTATGGAGCTATGTTTGGGGGGTTCATTGAGTTCTATGATAAATAGCGGCGAGCTTGTTGACACAGAGTTTATAAAGCAAGTATTACGTGATATTATAAGTGCAGTGGCATATTTACATAAAAAAAAGGTCACCCACCGTGACTTGAAACCAGACAATGTTCTGTTTTCCAATGGCCGTGCAAAGCTTACCGACTTCGGCACTGCCATTCTCAAACGCAATCGCGATAACCTTTCCCCAGTCACCGGAACGTTTGCTTATATGGCACCAGAGATTATTTTATGTGAGACGTACGGTAAGGCATGCGATATGTGGTCAATTGGCTGCATTGCGGCCGAGGTTTTAAAAGTCGATCTCCCTCAGAGATCTCTCGGATTACCAGGGATGTGTGAGTTTTATCGTAAAATGGATGTGAACTCATCATTATCTATTGATTGTTCTGTACTAGAAGTGAGTGACTTTCTGCGTTCCTGTTTGCAACGTAACCCTAATACTCGACCAACCGCTGCGGAGCTTCTGCATCACGATTGTTTGAAGCATAATAATGTTGCGTTTGATAAATGGATTAAGGAAGCAATGTCAAGAAAATGTCTATCATATCAACCTGCTTCTTTTGCAATGGATTTATTTGGCTCAAGCGAATCAGATATCAATTTGGACGCACAGCTTGATGGACTGTCCCTAAAATCCTTTGGTGAACCTTCAAACATATAAGATTGTATTTTTTTTTTAGCATATTATGCTTTAGTTTTCGTGTAAATCTAATCCATTAAAGGGAAAACAATTGAATCGAATTTCTTTATATTATATTACATCTCGTTGTATTTTTCCCATTTGCAGCAAAGTATATTTAATTTAGCTCAGGTTATAAATGAATCTTTTCTCTATAAAAATATATATATATATATGTATGTATATATGTCTGGAAAGAATGTGCACACTGTATGAGTCACGCATAGCTTCGCGTTGAAAAAAATTATAAGGGGTTCTGAGTGACATATTATGGTAATATGGTTAGAACGTCTTTGAGATTTTTTCGACTCATGTAAGGATATCAAGCTTCATTCTTTCATTGAGATGGTGGTTTCTTTCCACCCCACTTCTTTTTTTTTACCCTTTACGTAGATGCATTGGCAACTCATCTGCATCTTCGTTTTTTAAGTGTATACTTTGCAATTGTTGGAATAAGCAACAGATATCTGATCGGAGTTTCTTTTTGAACTATTATATTTTGCCGTTTTGTACATTGAATCTAAATATTTATTTCGATAAATTTATATGGGATCATACACAAAGCTTTTTTAACAGCCTCCGTTTAAAAGGTTGTCTTAAATTTTTTTTAGAATCCTTGTAATTCAATTTTTTTTTTCTACTTTTGCTTTCTACCTCATAGCAATTTCAGATGGAAAATGTATATCTTTGAAATATCCTATCCGTAAACCTAATGGGATCAGTCTATGGACGCTTTTGGTTGACAACACCCCACCCGAGCGTGGTGTACGCTGAGGGAAATTGATCAGCAAGACAAACCAATAGGAATAGGCAGCGGGATGGCGGTGGTGGTGCGGGGGCTTGGCCCCC